GCAAAACAAAGCATCACCTTCTTCTGTGAATGCTGCTGACTTGTTAAGGTGGCAATGAAGTCCCACCTGCAGTCAACAAGAAACTCCTGGCAGCCTCTAGTCAACGTATTATGGATGCCAACACCAACCTCTGTGGGTACAAGGCATGTACTTGGTGATTTATGATAGTACTGTACATGCTCCAAATGCAAATGCTTTAAGAAATGGCAACAAGGAATGTTTTATAAATCTCACCATTCACTTATAATCCTCTTCCTTCCTTATCCAATGAAGTGTGTTTTCCCACTAACCTCTTAGTCAATCAAGACATAAAAGTTAATCACTGCTAGGTACTGGTGGCTTATGCCTGTAATCCTAGCTACTCAGGAGGCTGAGATCTGAGGATCATGGTTCGAAGCCAGCCTGGGGAGAACAGTCCTGGTGAGACTCTTATCTCTAAATAATCACTGAAAAACCGGAAGTAGAGCTGTGGCTTAAATGGTAGAGTGCAAGCCTTGAGCACAAAGAGACAGTGTCCAGGCCTTGGGTTCAAGCCCTGCGACTGACAAAACAAAACACAAGTTAATCAGAAGCACATTTTAGAGAGCATGTTAATTAAACACTTAAATCATGAAGGACACCTATTATTTTAGAGATAGAGGTCTCACTAGGCACAGGCCAGCCTCAGACTTCTGGACTCAAGGATCCTCCTGCTTCAGCTTCCTTAATGGTTGGGGTTACATATTTGCACTCCACTATGTTCTATGGCTCTGAAGGTTTATTTTAAGCGCTGTAGGTTTTTTTTTTTTTCCCCATTTCATTTCTTTCTTTTTCCTCCTCCTCCTCCTCCTTCTAGTCTTCCTCCTCCTCCTTCTCCTCTTTCTGGTCCTCTTCCTCTTCGTCTTTTGGTGCTGGTACTTAGTGCTTGAACCCAGAGTCTGGCACTCTACCACTTGAGTCTGGCTTTTTGCTGGTTAATTAAACGTATGTCTGATGGACTTTTGGGCCTCTTGAGTAGCCAGGATTATAGGCACGAACCACTAGCACCCAGCTTCCAAATGTTAGGTTTTTTTAAAAAGAGGTCGCTGAGTAAGAACCACACCATGCACGTGGTATTCAGGTAAGGGGTATTCATCGTTCCCGCTGGCACCAGGCCATGTTGGCCCTCCACGCTGCTGGGAAAGGCCTGGGAAAGACCTGGGAAAGAGCTGAGAAAGAGAGCCTGCGCTAGGCCTTATCTAGGGTATGGGCAGAGAAAGGTATGGCCACATCAAATTCAGATGTGACCTCAGCAGATGCAGATGACCTCTTCCAGTTGTGCCAGTTGCCTAGGTAACGCAGGTACTGGGCAGAGACTTTGCTGCGAGGAGGGTTGAGTCTGCTAGCCATCCAGGAGTGGACCTTACATTCCAGCCTTTTAATAATCATGAAATAGGGCGGGGATTCTCTCTGGCTACTTCCTGCTGACAAGGGGTGTCAACAATAGGGGTAAAAGGCTGGAATTTGGTCTTCTCCCAGAGTAGGCAGTGAACAGCAGCTGTCGGTCCGTTGGTGGCGTGAGTCCTTAGATGAAGTCTGGAGAAAGTCTCATGAGGCATTGAGGAGCTGGAAAAAAAATACTAGAGAGCAAATAAATGGCAAGAGGAAGAACTTGGGGCTGAAAAATGTTGATAGAAATGTCCCTATCTGGTGACAAGGTAGAGGAGAAGTCAGTAAGCTTGGTGGAAGGTTAAGAGTCAGATGAGACCCAATCCTTAACCCACCACGTGGCCAAGATGGTGAACTCAAGATGGCGAATTTCTGAAAAAAAAAAAAAAAAAAAAGCAAGAAAACCTAAACAAATGGAAACTCTGACAATTTTCAAACCTAGAATGGCTAGCCTTTGAGAGGGACCTGGGGGGGTGGGGGAGGGGAGTCCCTGGGACCCAGCCTGTGTCACACTCTTCAGGGCACAAGCCAAAAAGTTGTAGAAAAAAGGAGAGAAAGTTGGACATGATTAGCAGACAGCAAAGAAAGCCTGAAAGTAAACAGACCATTTATGATTGCAGAGACAAAAATTGTCTAAATCTGAGAACAGCATAAAAAAATTAGGCATTCTGGCTTTCCAGGGCATGCAGGAGGCATTTCAAGGGGTTTCACGACACTGGAGTGGCACACAGCACCCCATTAAAGGCGTAGGAGAGGGAAAAAAAATTAGTGAGTGAAGGAGGGCTTATCAGAGGGAAGTGGCATCCCAACTTTCCACCGAGCCCTCTAGGGAGGAGTGGCCAAGAAACCAGAGTCAAGCATCCAGGGCTCCAGAGGTGACCGTCCTTTCCGTTAAAGGTTCAGTAGCAGGTTCTCTGGACCTTACACCAAAGTTTTGTTTTGTTTTGTTAAAGCATCTGTGAGAGTTTTCCTTTAAGAAAGTCACTGCTTTATTAAGGTTCAGGGGGAGGCTGAGTGACTACAGCCGCTGGGAGCTTGAGGGTGACATCAGACTGTGACTTGAGACCCAGAGCAAGCTGAGTCCCCTGCTGAATGTATTTTGGCACCCTGTCCAACGTCTTCAGCAAGGGAACAAGGGTGTCCCGGATCACAGCTTTGCTTCCAGATAAAACCTTTCTTCTCTAATTGAGATGAGGGATTTGGGCGGCTTGGGACTAACAAATAAAGCCATGTAAAACTTATCATATATCAGAAAGGAAGGTTTCCTGTAACTGAACACCTTGAAAATGTGAGCAAAGTAGAATAGCCTCAGGGGTTGTCAGTCATTCTCTGGCCGAGACTGTCTGGGGATGCCTTGCTTCTAAGCCGGCTGAACCCACAACAGCCTTCCTGTGGGGGAGGGGAGGTTTTAGACTTACTGCCCTCCCTAACCCCTCCCTAGACCTGCCCAGTGCTATACACCTCCAGAGGAGGTGCTAAGAGCACCAACATTCCCAACATTTCCTAGGGAATTGGTATTAATAAATTTTAAGAAATAATGAGGAATTCCCATCGCTTAAAACTATATTTTATCCAATCAAGACAAAGGAGAGTTCTATATACCACCAAGAAAGACAAAGAGGAAATGGTCTCCACTAAATTGTGCACACTGTCTCTAGTCCTGGCCTTTGAGAGACCTTGTAAGCAAATGCATACTTGCTGGAAGCCCCGCAGGGCAGATGCTTGCTGTTCTTTGCTTTACAGCCACCAGAGTGCGCTCCTCACTTGGGCCCTCCCATTAACCAACGTGCCAGTTTCCCAGCACAGAAGGAAAACACGAGTAAGCTCAGAAGTACCTTGCCAATCCATCCCCCATCCAAAGATCGCCCCAGAGAAGAAGAAGAAGAAGAAGGAGAAGGAGAAGGAGAAGGAGGAGAAGAAGGAGAAGGAGAAGGAGAAGGAGAAGAAGAAGAAGGTCCTTTTGATTATTTTCTTTCTCATTTTTGCTCCATTCTTGTGGGCTTCCATAAAGTCCCCCCGGGAACCAATCGCCCTAAGCCAATCTCCCAGGCACGCAGTTTCAAGCAACACCGAGAGATGTCAAAATCGATGTGCATAGGAGGTGACACCACCCCCCCCTTTGCAGGAGAGACTTGTAGGTTCAAACTGGCCAGAGGGTAGCAACTTCTATGCTATGAAACGCCCAACATCTCTTCCCATTTTATACTTTTATTCCTGGAAAAACAACTTCCTTTTTTTTTTTTTAACCATGCATCTTTAAGTGAGATATTTCGAAACCACATGGAACATATGGGTTCTTATGCCATGGCTGGGAATCGAGAGTCTCTTTCCAAGGCTTCTGTTTCCTGGTGGGAACCCGTGCGTTTTGCAGGCCTTACTCTGATTCTTACTTGCGCGCTTTCTGCACCGGGCGGGAGTTGGGTTGCTGCGTGTTTGGGGGTGCACCCAGCTCAAGCGCCCCTAGAAAAATCAAACTAGAGCTCAGCCTCTACCCAGGCGCGCCTCTAGGCGGCGTCCAGGGAGAAGGATTCCCACCATGGCGGTTTCCCCCACTCCGGGATCCAAGCCCTGTGTTTCGGGTGCCTTCGCCGCGGATCCTTCCCCAGTTGTGCGGCACTCGATGGGGCACGCGCGCGGGGACCCCGTGCAGACCCAGTTTCCAGCACTCGGAGGCTGCGGGGCAGCACGCGGCCCCCCGCCCCCGACGCGCCTGGCAACGCGGCGGCCCCCGCGCACGCGCGCGTGCGCGCGGTGGGGCCTCGCCCACCCCGGGATACCCGGAGGCAGGTGGACAGTGTCGCTATGAAGAGAAAGCCTTGATTGTCCCGCGGCCACACGCCAGACCGCCACTATTGTGTGATCCCCATAGAAATGCAAACGAGCCGCGTGCGCCCGGCCGCAATCTGCTGGTCCCCAGCTCCCCTCCCCCCCCCCCCCCCCGCACCCCGCCGCTGCTCCTCCAACCAGGGGTACGGGGGGAGGGGGAGGGAGGGGGGGCTCGGGCTTCCAGCAATACCCCAAAGAGGCCTGGAATATTCGTGGCAGGCTTCACCGGCTGAGGGGGGGGGGGGCTGCAAACCCATCTACTGGCCTTGGCCGGCTGCACACGACCCTAGCGTGCTTCTACTTGAGTTGCAGTCTCCCCGTGACAGCTTCATAAACCGCCACTTGCACAGGGAGAATTCAAAACACAGAAGCAGCAATAAGGTGAAATGCAAAGCGCAATTCTTTGGCCTCCTCCCAGGTTCTCGGTAGCCAACAAGGTGGGTTTGTGGGTTTTTTTTTTTTTTTTTTACTTTTTCCTTTTAAGGGCTTATCAAAAAAAAAGAAAAGAAAAAAAAGCCAAAGAAAAGCGAGCTGCGCGCTGCAGTCTGCCCGGCAACACCCCGACAAAAGCGGCAGATTTGAGGCTTTGTCATCCCCCGCGCCCCTCCCCACGTGGCCTTCTGGCACGAGCCGCCGGCCTGCCGCCTCATTTGCATCAGAAAGCGGGCGCCGGCCAATGGGCGTGCAGCCTTGCGCCAGCTGGCGGCGCCGCGCCGGCCCGGCTATAAAAGGACGCGCGCGGCGGCGCCCGCTGTAGTCGCTGGAGGTTGGCGCGCCGGGCGGGCTGGGGAGTCCTGATTCTCCGAACTGCTCTCTGCGTTGTCTCCGCTTTTGGATATCTTGCTGCTCGTCGACCGCACCATGACTCTGGAAGAAATCCGCGGCCAGGACACAGTTCCCGAAACTACAGCTAGGTAGGTTTGGGAGCGCAGAGTTGGGCCATTCCAACCGCGATCTCGCTGTGTGTGTGGGGGTGGGGGGGGGAGTTGTTGGAGCCCGGTGAGGTCGGAGCCCAGCTCTGCCCGGGTGCCGGCTGGGGGAGGTGTCAGGACTGTGGGGGAATCAGGGGTGTTTCAACCTAGGGACGGGGGTGCACACGTCGATTCGAGGTTGGGGTGGGGGGGTTGGAGGGGAGCCAGAGCGCGTCCGGTGGCTGGCGGCTCCAGGTCGGGCCTGGGTAGTGGAGAGTGCAAGGCACTAAGTCTGCGATCCAAGTCCGGGGGTGGGGGTGCCAGATCGCGGCCCGCTGAGCCGAGTGCAGTCGGGGAGCCGGGGGCTGGGGGGCACGTGGGCTCACGGCGGGCGCTGGCTCTCCGCGCAGGATGCAGGGCGCCGGGAAAGCGCTGCACGAGCTGCTGCTGTCTGCACAGCGCCAGGGCTGTCTCACCGCCGGCGTCTACGAGTCCGCCCAGGTCCTGAACGTGTAAGTGCAGAACGCGTCCCGTGGTCGGGGCGGCGCGGGGGTGGGAGGTGTCGGCGCGGCGGGGCACCTTGGCTCCAGGATCGAGGTCCTCCCCCACCCCCCTGACCTTGTCCTTTCCCCCACGTCTGCCCTCGCAGGGACCCTGATAACGTGACCTTTTGCGTGCTGGCTGCGGACGAGGAGGACGAGGGCGACATCGCGCTGCAAATTCACTTCACGCTGATCCAGGCGTTCTGCTGCGAGAACGACATCGACATCGTGCGCGTGGGAGACGTGCAGCGGCTGGCGGCGATCGTGGGCGCCGGCGAAGAGGCGGGCGCGCCGGGCGACCTGCACTGCATCCTCATTTCGGTGGGTGTCGCCTCCACGGTGGGTTGTCCATCCTGGGCTCCCCCCCCCCCACACACACACCGTGTTCCCCCTCCCCGTCCAGCCGTCCATGCTGGCCCGGAGCCAGCCGCGCTGACCACCCCCCCCCCCCCCTCGCTTTCTCCCGGCAGAATCCCAATGAGGACTCGTGGAAGGACCCTGCACTGGAAAAGCTCAGTCTGTTCTGCGAGGAGAGCCGGAGCGTTAACGACTGGGTGCCCAGCATCACCCTTCCCGAGTGACAGGCTGGAGCAGCGGGAGGACCTTGGTCTCTGATCGACGTGGTGACGCTCCGGGGCGCCTAGCACGCTGCTGGCTCTGCGGAGGGGCCCTCGGAGGGCGCCCGCCCGAGTGCGCGCGCGCGCGGCGTGGAGACGGCAGGCCCGCGGGGCGCCGGGAGAGCGAGCGAGCGAGCGAGGACGCGGCGCCCCAGGCGGGGGCTCGGCGGCGGCGGCGGCCGCGCACGGAACACTCTCCAACCCAGGACTCTGCACTGCACGTGTCCCCGAACGGGGCAGCTCGCACTGGAAGGCCGAGGCTGGGACGTAGGTCGCCGGGCCAGGAAGGACTTGATTGGCCGGATACCCTCGGGACTCAGCCGCCGGTGCTCTGGGCTGGAAGGAGGGAAAAGGCTGGGGAAGGCGCGGCGCGCCGAGGCCTGGACTTGGTACGGCGGCGGCGGCAGTGATGTCGGACTTGGCCGGCTGGCACGACTTTTTTCAGGACGAATCTGGGCATTGCTTCCTTTTTGTTTTGTGTTTCTTTTCTCTCAAGGATGCTGTCATTGAAGTTTTGAGTTCTGCAATAAACTTACTGAAATAAACCGACGCTTGGGGTCTTTGTCTCCGAGGGATTCGGTCCTTGTTTAAGGGGAGGTGGTCAGCAGTGTGTGAGGTGAGGGCTGGAGGTGGCGCATGGAGCTAATGGCACCTGTTTCCGCCTTCCTGTCGGGCGAGAATTACAGGCTTCTCGGGCTGGCAGTGGGGGAAGGGAGCCACTGGCCGTAGAACTTGAGCCTAGCTTGTGTTTCTGTCTCCTTTAGGAAGATGTGAAACTTGCAGATCGGGAGCATACTTGAGATAAGGCATTCGGGTGCAGCAGCTCAAGACTTGCAATCCAATCCGATCACTGTGACCTCTGCCTCCCTTTTCTTTCTCCTTCCCCGCCCCCTCCCTCCGACAGCTGCTTATCAGAGCAGCTAGCCAAGGGGCCAGGCATGGCTTTCCTACACAATGAGCTTTGCCTTCTGCAGCCCTGGCCCTTTGTGGTCCCCGAGCGTGGGGGGGGGCTGGCTGCTTCTGCTTTCGGGAACTTTCGCTTCTGAATTGCTCTGACAAGGCAATGTTAGCAAAGTATTAATATCAAACATGACACCAATGACTGCGTTCAAGTCTGACTCATCATTTTGTCATGGCTGTGACAGAACTTACAAGATGTGAGCAAAACTTGGAAGGCAGCGTCTATATAAATAGGAATGAGTAGTTCTGAGTGGGGCTGGCATCTGTTAGGTGCCTATTTTCAGTGTCTTCTGCCCACATCAGTTAGTCTTGCTGCTGTTCACAACCTCCCCCCCCCCCTTTTATTTTAGTACTGGGTCTTGAACTCCTAGCTTGGGTGGTTGCCCTTAACTTTTTCCCCTCAAGGCTGATGCTCTGTCACTTGAGCCTCGTTGCTACTACTACTGTCTTTTTGGTGGTTAATTGGAGAAAAGTGTCTCACGGACTTTCCTGCCTGTGCTGGGTTTGAAACTGGGATCTTTAGATAGAAGCTTTTGGAGTAGCTAGGATGACCAGTGTGGATCATGGGTACTTGGCTGCAACTCCCTTTTGAAAACAGGAAAAATAAATGTTAAGTCTCGAAGTCAAGACTGTCTTTAAGAAGGATCTAGAGGAAAATGTACCTACCAATGAGCAGATCTTTTCTTATGAGATCTGACAGTCTTGATCTTGCTTTTACTCCCTTTCCTGGCTAACTGCTTGGTGGGGGGGTGTAGGGGGAAGGGAGAGCAATGCACATTGGAGCTGGCTTGCTGTCAAGAGTGTTCAGGGAAGGAGGGCGGAGTGCTGTTTTTCTAAGAAGGACTTGCTGCTGATTTACCGGCAGTCGTTGGGGTGGCTGATTTGAGTGCTACTTTAAAAATTCTTTCCAAATCTAGGAAGCATTTGGAAGACAACAGGAAAACTGTAGGAGCTTAATTACCCTTCCTGTAAAGAAAGCATTCTGTTTCTCATTTATCTGTTCTAAAAGCATCTACTCCTTTGTGAAGGCCAAAGCCCAATGATCTAATTTAATTATCTGTGCCCAAATTTCCTCCATATTTTACTTATTTGCTGCCCCCAAATCTTGAGTTTTCTAACAGAACTCTGCAGAATAGGCTGACAGACCTGATCACTGATCAACTGTTGTAGAACATTGAGTTGGCAGGCCATGTGTAACTTGGCCTTCTCTAATTAGGCCTTACTGTGAGGCCACCTGTTGGAGCTCTGGAAGCAAGGAGAATTTGCAGAGCGCAAGAAGGAAAAGAAAAATAAAAATAAATAAAGCAGGCTTAACACAGGAACCAGGCTCAAAGTTTGTGCTAAATGTCTTCTTGATAAATACAAGTAAATACATCATTATTCACATGAAGTAAGCGTGTTGTTACTAAAACATTATTTTCTGGGTACAAGACACATAGAAGCCCCTGGTACCTGCTAATCATTATGTACATGTAAGGTGGCCCATGCAAAGAACTGAGCTCAAAACTTTGCAGATAAAAAACAAAACAAAACAAACAAAAAAAAACCTCAGTGTGCTGAGTGAGGTTGGCTCATGCTTGTAATCCTAGCTACACAGGAGCCTAAGGTCAGAGGATCATGATTCTAAACCCTGACAGGAAAATCCATCTGACTTTTTTCTTCAATTAACCACCAAAAAGCTGTAGGTAGAGTGTGTCTCAAGTGGTAGAGCAGCAGCCTTGAGCAAGAAAGTCAAGTGAGAACAAGAGTCCCTGATACTTACAAACTAATGGTTGCTTGCTCAAGACCATGAATTATAAACCACAAGCTCTTTTTATGCTGGTAAGTTCCTTTGACCTTTTGGGGATGAGCCCATTTGGGACCAAGGAGTCTGGTTCCAGAAACTAGGGCCTTACAACTTCCTGATGCTGGAATGCTTGTCTTGTGCCCAGTTAAGGATCCCCAAAGACCACCAAGGAGCAGATTCAGATGCAAGTAGAGAGAGTCGTTTAGTGCAAGCTGGAGCCTGGACTCACCACCATCACCGATGCAGAGGATCTAGATAGAGAGGGCTTTTATAGGGTTTTTAGGGACTTCTATGAGTCATTGCAACAATTAACAAATCCTATCACTCCACGGGAAAATAATAAAATAATTCTAAAAGATGATTAGCGTAACCAGTGGCAGGAACCGACCAGGTACTGGGGATTGGCTGGTTCATGGAGTTGAGGCTCTTCGAAATGATTGACTAAAGTAGACGGTCTGAGCCGCAACCCAGTGGTCTTTAACTTGCAGGAACATCTGGTCCAGGGAGTGCAGGAGGTGTTTAGGAGAGTCAGTCTGGTGAGTGAAGAAGAGCTGACCAGGCAGAAGCGTTGTCCTGACTTCCCCCAGAGCCCTCTAGAGAGAAATGGCCAAGCCCCCAAAACCAAGCGTCCTGGACTCCGGAGGTGACCGGCCTTTTGGCTAGTTTCACTCACTGGAGTAGAGAAGTGGTGTGGGAGTGGAGTGGAATTTAAAGAGTTGTTCCTGGAATTTGGGCTCAAGGGGATCAAGGGGAGTTGCTGACACATTTCCCACACAACATGAAATATTTTGTTCAGGCTTCACACTTGCAGACCAGCAGAAAACAAAAAACAATATATATATATGCAATCATAAGACACAAAATGTTAAAGAACAAAGTAAGACGATTCTGCAAACCAGCAAGGGCAATTGGGTGCATTCTTGTCTTGCCTTCTGCTCTCTCTCTAGGGTATATATTGCATGTAGTATATGCAAGTGCACAGGTATTTTCTAGGCAGCAGTATCTGGCTTACTTTGCTTTAGTGAGCCTACAGGTATGAGCCATCAGGGTCTATCTTGTATTCATTTTTAATGTCTTGCATTAGACCATTGGTACACCGTTTTACAGTGACAAACAGAGGTAAATGAATACAGAAATGACAGTGGGAGGTGTTGGGGTCAGGCAGTCACTGACCCTGTCTACTCAGGGAGTTGGAGCCAGGCCTGACCTTGAGATGAGAGAACAAAATGATCACTGAGATTTGAGTTTACTCTTAAAGTTCAAACTCTGTGTATTATAAGTTGTATTCAACTATTCACCTCAATAGCACAATGTGTATTGCTCAGAAGGCTTACAAAGAACCACTGGGAGGAAAGCAAAATAATAATAATAACAATAATGAATAATAATGAATTTTTCAGAGGAAAAGGGAGTAAAGGCTTGGTAAACAAGCAAGGCAGTGAGGTCATAAGGTCACCTCAAAGAGCAGACACTCCTTTTGCTTGTGCTTTTGTTGTTGTTGTTGTTTGCTTTTCTCAAGATACTTGCACTTTTCAGTTGGCTTCCTATCTTAGTGGCCCCTGATCTTCTTATTTGGGTATATTCCCTAAATGGCCAGAGGAAATTGTCCTTTCACAGCCACCATAGAGAGACTTTGTGACTTAAATGGTAGCAAGGAGACAGTCTCCAATACTGTATGGAACAGCACACAACCCTGGAAGAATGCTAAGATGACTTGCAAGTCAGGGTTGATGTGTTACCCAGAACAATGTAAAGGCTTTCATTTCTGTTCTAGGGAAAACTTGGACATGTGGTCTTTTTAAGTTGTCCTGTGAAGTAAGTGTGTGTGTGTGTGTGTGTGTGCATGTGTGTGTGTGTGGTGTGTTCATACGGGGGCATGAACTCAGGGCTTCTTGCTCTTGTTTGCTATTTTTGCTCAAGGCTGGTGCATTACCACTTGGGCCATACCTCCACTTCTGGCTTTTTGCTGGTTAATTAGAGGTAAGAGTTCATAAGGGTGTTTCTTTCCTGCACTGACTTTGAATTTTGATTTTCCAGATCTCAGCTTCCTAGTAGCTAGATTACAGGAAGGAGCCACTAGAGCCAGGCTAGTTGACCTATTTTAAGTCACACTTCTTTATCTTGTAGAATAAAGTTGTCAAATGGTTTCACTAGCGACTATGAGGGTGAGAGAAGGCTGCCCTGGGAAGGGGCAGGCTGCCCAGAGGAGTCTGAACTTCGGGAGGAGGTGGTACATGTCGCTTAAGGGCACCAGAAAGTCTTTTCTCTGTTTTTCTTTTTCTCTTTTCTTTTTTACTGTGGTGGAGGTAGAAAATGTATTATTCATCTTCTGGGGTTGGGGTCCCCATCTCTGAGGTCGGCTCAAGGTTGTGATGACGGTGACCAAGAGGTAAGGTTACACAATAGAGCTGCTGATGTGTACCAGCCTAGGGCAAATGTGGCTCCATGCATCTGACCTTGCCTGGATGTGTGGCTTTCTCCATCATGATTTTTTTTTTTTTTGCTAGTTCCACCTTCCTGGCTCTTGCTCCTGATGCTGTCCACTCAGGGAGTTGGAGCCAGGCCTGACCTTGAGATGAGAGAACCAAATGATCTCTGAGATGTGAGTTTACTCTTAAAGTTCAAACTCTGTGTATTATATGTTGTATCCAACTATTCACCCTTAACTAGGAGTAGTGACATGTGCCCTTTATAAGCAGAAATTGCTGCTTCTGGAAGAAGGAGGGTGAGAGTCCAGATATTGAAGGTAGAGGTTCCAGAAAACCATCCCCTGTCCTCAGTGTCTAGTCC